CTATGCATCTATTTGCAAATCTGATTCTGATGACGTCAGTGCCTCACCAGCTATGAACCTCACCGCACGTCACTGGAGAACATAGTCTGGTCAGATGAGACCAAAATTGAACTGTTTGGATGTCATAATACACATCATGTTTGGAGGTCAAATGGCACTGCACATCACCCCAAAAACACCATACCAACAGTGAAGTTTGGAGGTGAGAACATCATGGCGTGGGGCTGTTTTTCAGCATATGGTACTGGCAAACTTCAAATAATTGAAGGAAGGATGAYTGGAAAAATGTACAGAGACATTCTTGATAGCTGATAGCTCGGCTCAGCAGAACTGTCTACACAATTTGTCTGGACTCGCCACCTTGGGATTTACCAGCGGACATTATGGAAGATGGAAAATTATTATTGTCTGCCCTCCCAAAAACATTTCTTCTGTTGCCAAACAACTGATTATGAATTAGCTCTCCTGTACATGGCCTTGAAAGAGCTGTGGATCTAATTTCTCCTGGTGTTTATGTCAACCTCCCCCACTCTGTCTGTAATCTGATCCCTTGAAGGTCAATCTGAAGCTGCACAGAATGAACAATTAACACCAGTATTCTGAACTTTGGCCGAACTCAGGGTTTTTCTTTTGTGGGGCTGCATTCTTTGGTCTAATTCTTCAGATATTCACACAAGTGCATACAACACTCATGGCTTCAGATACACGCCCTCTATACTCCCTTACTCCTCTGGCTAATAAATGTGCTCTTGCTCTGTAAAGCTTTTTATATAAACACCATGGTGTATCATATTTCGTTGATATAATATGATGTTTTGTTTTTTTCCTCTACCCTTGTGTGGTATTTTTGTGGTATTTTTGTTTTTCTTTTTAAAGGTAGCGCGACCCCTGCTGGTTGCCACATGACCTGATCACCCGTTCACCCATGTTTGTCATGTCTGTCTCTTGAATAGGTGTTCTTAAATGTAATTTCATTGTGTTCTATACAATGACAATAAAGTCATCATCAAATCAAATCAAAAAGGCATCTTACTCTAAAAAAGACAAACTGCTGACCACTTGCTTCACTTAAGGATACAGACAATAGTTGTACACAACAGATACACAGGTGTACCTGAAAGGTGTTGAGAACATGCTGACAAACTTCATGGAGCTCTTCCAGGCCTTTTCGTAGTGGTTCTACAGCTGGACTTGCACCTGAAACAGACAACAGAAAGCACTAATAAAAACCTTATCCTCAAATGAATATGTCAGCTGTCTGAAGCCCACACTCTTCAAACTAATTCTTTCTTTTACATGCTCACATTTAACCAAAAGAAATGTAGCATACTCTGCTTTTTGCGGATGATGTGGTCCTATTGGCCTCATCAAATCGTGATCTCCAGCTCTCATTGGAGCGGTTCGCAGCAGAGTGTGAAGTGGCCAGGATGAGGATTAGTGCTTCCAAATCCGAGACCATGGTCTTGAGCCCGAAAACGGTCGGGTGCATTCTCTGGGCCAGGGAGGAGGTTCTGCCCCAAGTGGAGGAGTTTAAGTATACAGTGGTTTGCAAAAGTATTCATACCCCTTCAACTTTTCCATATTTTGTCACATTACAACCACAAACATAAATATATTTCACTGGAATTTAATGTGAAAGACCAACACAAAGTGGTATACAATTGTGAAGTGGAAGCAACATGAATCAAAACATTTTTTACAAATAAAAAACTGAAAAGTGCGACGTGCAAAAGTATTCAGCCCCCCTG